AGAGACGTGCAGAGGTTGATCATTTAGCTCATCTGTTGTGCCTTTCAATGATATCACAGCTGATCTGGAAATCCTCAACTCCACTTTCCTGCATTTTCCCCATAATACTTGATTCCTTTATTGATTACGAATCTATCTCAAAATTGAGTATATTATAACAATGTACCTTTCAAAGCCATTTGCTGTCAATAATGCCAGATTCATTATGCTCAGAGAGAAGAAACTACTCATCTGTCTTAAATGGGCAATACCATATTCTAAGATTATGCTCTCTGGTCATAGACTATTCTCTCTGCATGTAGCCTATCGAATTCCCAAAGAATCTTACATGCTGGAATAAGGTTACCTCTTGTTCTTCTAAATTCCACTGAATACAGGATCAAACTACCCACCCTCTCCTCTAAAGACAGTCCCTTCAAATGCAGAATCGATCTCAAACGTTCGCCGAACTCTAATGCCAGTCTTTGTTTTAAGGCAGTGGTAGATAGATTCATGTCAAGCAAGGGGAATGCAGATTTAAAGTTAGTTAGATCAGCCATGATCTCCCTGAATGATAGCGGAGGCTCAAGGGACTGAATGGCCTGTTCTTGCTCTTAAGTTGTATCCTCAAAAGCATTTCAGACCCATTCGTTTTCAATGAGAAACAAAGGTGCTGGAAATCACAGCGGGTCGGGCAATATCCATGGAGAGAGAGCAAGCTAACGTTTCGAGTCTAGATGTCTCTTCATCGTTCTCATTGATACATTGCAGCACATCCTTCCAAGTGTTTTTTGCATCAAAATGCTTAAATTTATACAAGAGGACCTTCTGCGACTGCTAAGATATCGTGCCTTGTTGCATAAATGGCGGCTTCAAACATTAGAGCTCATAAGGAGGGCTTTAAGAAACCTGCAGCCGTGGATTTTTGAGGTTCTGGCGTTCGCTAACGGAGGAATTGGATTGAAAACATTCGAGCAACGTGAAATCGGCGTTAAGTGAGGGGAGACTCCCGGAGAGTGTCAGGAGTGGTAGTAGATGGGCAGGTGGACTCACCTCTCCTCCCGCTGACGGACACTCCGGGCCCACTCAGGTAGGGCGCCGGCAGCTCCTCCTCTCCCCGCCCGCTCCGCGCACCATTCTCCGGCACCGTCCGGAGAAACTCCCTCAGACTGGGACCGCCGGCCTGTCTAGCAGCGCTGGGAGGCGGCGCCGGCCCGTCCCGTGTGTACCTGACCACGATCCCGGCCAACTGCCCGTCAACCGGGCAGACGGTGGACTGTAAGAAGCCCCTCACCGCCCTGAGCCCCTTCATGATAGGAAACCCTGGCAACAACGGCGACGTCAGTGCGCAGGTCAGGAAACAGCGACGGCGCGAGTGTTGGCAACGACCGAAATTCATCGGCGGCGGGTGTCTCTCCGCATGCGCAGAAGCAAAATTGAGGGCTGTCCGCCACCATCTTTATACAGGAGCGGTGGAGCATGCGTGCGTTAAATGGGCAGCCTTCGCCATCTTTGTAAATCATCATAAAGCCCGCATGCGTCAAGCCGTCAACTCACAGCCATGTTAGTAAAGGAACGTGCCTCGCCTCTCATGAGGAGAGGAAAACTTCATCTTTGTGAAGGAATGCTTAATAATCCTTAATGTGCACCAAAATTACATAACATGCGAGCTGCTGCCTCTGTTCCCAAACATTTTATAAAATAAAGTTGGTCCGAAATGTTTGGGGAAATAATTTCATGCGAAAGCTAAAAGTGGAAATGGTTTGAAGTTTACCTAAGATGATGCAAAGCTTGGAAAATTATCGAAAACTAAAGAGCAGTTTATAAAAACAGAATCAAATATGAAGTTTTCAAACCAAACTAGTATTATTCCAAAAAGTGACGCTTGGACACATACCCGATAACAAAGTACAAAATAACTTGATGGGTGAGAAATTGGGCTTATTAGCACCCGCTTTTAAAACACTCCATCTGCCATTAAAGCTTCAAAATAGCATCTACACAGAATAATTAAATAAATAAACAAATAGATACCACTGTGTATTACGTGCAGCAAATTTCCACCAGAAATAAGATGAGCAGGTCTCGGCACTGAAATGCACCTAATACTGTCTGGTTATTTGTTAATTGTTTCAAGATATGAACATCTACAGAATGTTTACTGTGGCAATTGGAAAAAGGTGATTTCGGTAACTTCAAAGCTTCTGCACACAGCAGCTGCTTCTAATCATGCATGGCTGCTCTCTCTGAAAGGCATTACCTCAGGAAAACAAAATCATGATCTGCAGAATGAAGAGAGGAAATGCAAATCAGGACAACTATAGTCTGAGGAAGGTGAAGAAGGCGTCTCAGCAAGAGGTTATTTCTCACCAAAGATAGTGAGGGATAAGTTCTCCAACCTGAATCATTGCAAGAAACCTGAACCACTATCCACAATTATCCCAACTACCATGAGTTATGGCTGTGGGGCTGGTGTTCAGAATCTGTCAGTAAGAAACCTTGGGGTGCAGGTTCATAGTTCCTCGAAAGTGGAGTTGCAGGTCATTTGATACACTTGCCTTTATCGGTCAGTGCATTGAATATAGGAGTTGGGAGATCGTGTTGCAGCTGGATAGAACATTGGTCAGGCCACTTTTTGAATACTGCATTCAATTCTGGTCTTCCTACTATAGGAAAGATGCTGTGAATCTTGAAAGGGTTCAGAAAAAAATTACAAGGACGTTGCCAGGGTTGGAGGGTTTGAGCTATAGCGAGAGACCAAATAGGCTGGGGCTATTTCCCTTGAAGTGTCGGAGGCTGAAGGTTTGATTTGATTTAGTTTATTGTAGTCACATGTACCGAAGTACAGTGAAAAGCTTCGTTTGGGAGCAGTACAGGCAGATCATAGTAAGCAAGGTCAGACAGATCATAGGGTGCTTAGACAGAGTGAGGCATACAGACTACACCGCACAGGAGGTGCATGGAGCAAGATCAATGCTATTTGAAGTTAGAGAGTCCATTCATCAGTCTAATAACAGCAGGGAAGAAGCCGTTCTTGAATCTGTTGGTGTGTGTATTCGACCTTTTGTATCTTTTGCCTGGTGGAATAGGTTGTAGGAGAGCATTACCAGGGTGGGAGGGGTCTTTGATAAGGTTGGCACCCTTTCTCTGGCACCGAGAACTGTAAGTGGAGTCCATGAATGGAAGTTTGGCTTCCATGATGGTCTGGGCTGTGCGCACAACTTTCTGTAGTTTCTTATGATGTGGGCAGAGCAGTTACCATACCAGGACATTATGCGCCCAGACAGTATGCTTTCTGTGATGCATCTGTAAACGTTGGTGAGGGACCTTATCGACATGCCAAATTTCCTGAGCCACCTGAGGAAGAAGAGGCATTGTTGTGCCTCTTCACTCTCGCTTCTACCTGGGAAGTCCAGGACAGGTTGTCAATTATTGTCCATACTGGGAACTTCACGCTCTCAACCCTCTTAACTGCTGCTCCATTGATGTAGATGTGTTCTCCTCCTCTTTTTCTGAAGTCAATAATCAGTTGTTTAGTTTTGCTGATATTGAGAGAGAGGTTATCATTGCACCACTGTCTCCTTTCTGTATTCTGATTCATTGTTATTGGATTTCCATCCTACCATAGCGGTGTCATCAACAAACCTTTGGATGGCATTCATTCATAATTTAGCTACACAGTTGTGGGTGTACAGGGAATACAGTAGGGGGCTCAGAACACATCCTTGGGGCTGCTCCAGTGTTGACTGTTACCGAGGAGGATGTGTAGTGTCTATCTTCAGTGATTGTGGTCTGTGGGTCAGGAAGCTGAGGATCCTGATGCAGAGGGTGGAGCTGAGACCTAGGTCTCAGAGCTTTGAGATCAGTCTGGAGGGGATTATGATGTTGAAAGCGGAGCTGTAGTTGATGAGTGGTCGTCTGACATAGGTGCCCTTGTTGTCAAGATTTTCCAGGGGTGAGTGCAGGGCTAGAGAAATGGTGTCTGCTGTGGACCTGTAACATCAGAAGGCAAATTACAGGGGATTGAGGCAGGCTGGGAGGCTCAGGTTGAAGTGGGCCATGACTGGTCTCTTGAAGCACTTCATGATTATGGAGGTCAGAGCCACTGGGCCGTAGTTATTAAGGCACATTGCACGTGCTTTCTTTGGTACTGTGATGATGATAGGTGATCTTATTAGAGCTTTATAAAATCATGAGCAGCATGGAAAGGGTGAATAGCCAAGGTCTTTCCCCCGGGTAGGGGAGTCCAAAACTAGGGGACATAGATTTAAGGTGAGAGGAAAAAGACTTAAAAGGGAACTAAGGGGCAACTTTTTCATGCAGAGGACTGTGTTTGTATGGAATGAGCTGCCAGAGAAGATGGTGGAGGCTGGTACAATTATAACATTAAAAGGCATCTGGATGGGTACGTGAATAGAAAGGGTTTAGAGGGATATAGGCCAAATGCTTCCAAATGGGACTAGATTTATTTAGCAAATCTGTCGGCATGCACAAGTTGCACCGAAGGGTGTAACGCCAGCTGTACAACTCTATGACTCTAGGTAATCAATTTTGCTATCTCTGTCCCTATACCAATCCCTCCAATTGGCTTTACTTGTATTTCCTCAATGTGAATAAATCACCACAAAGAATATGGAATAATGTGTTGATGGGGAGAATAACGACACAAATGAATAAATATGCTGAGATGGCAACTGAATCTCAACAATTTGGGAAACAAATGGTCTGCAGTGTCCAGCAGTAAAAGAAACATGCACACAGGAGACAAGATATTGTATTCAATTTACAGAATCAATTGAAGTAACCAAATTCATTAAATAATTACACCCAACTATTTGCATCCTTTATGTAATTTCAGAAAAGAGGAACCGTTTTCTTGCATGAACACATTTTATTGTTAACCTTTTCCTTGGTAATTACAGTAAAATATTACAAAGCAGTAATGTGTCTACATGTAAAGCATTACAAAATGCAAGGAAAAGTTGCTTCAGGCAAACGTCAATGAGAGAAAGATTTAAATACTGAATTTCTTCCTGGATGTTTCAGTTTTTGATCACTGCATCCTTGATGTGCAACTCTTTTGACATTCAAATGTAGGTGAAATCTGTGGCAACCAGCAGGAAATTCTAAAATGTATAAACAAAAAAATACTCAGCAATTACTGGGAACAATACTTTTATTACAACCTATTTTATGCACTGTGCAAATGTCTGGCAGTCATTGCATACAGTAAAACAAGTTTACAATATTATATGCGTATTATAAATGCATGAGGTTTTAGCTTTCTAAGGGTGACGCATATTGTCACCGGTTACATTCTACAAATTACTCTGAAATGTTAGTATTTTTATGAAAAAGTACATATAGGAATCATTGATAACTTTCTCGGTCTTGTGTCTTCTGTTAAAAGCAAATGTAGAGAAAACAATAGTAACAAGTAGAGTCCAGGGATGTGCAGGCTGGTTGGATTGGCCATGTAAAATGCAGGGTTACAGGGATAGGGTAGGGGACCGGATCAGGGTGGGATGCTCTTCGGAGGGTCATGGCAGTCTTGACGGACCAAATGGCCTCTTTCTGCATAGTAGGGATTCCATGATTTTTCCATATACTTTCATGTCACTCAGTCCTTCATTTGGTTTAACTGCAGGCACAGAGGACTAAAACAGAATGGCAGTGCACCTGATATTTGACTCCTCACTACCTGTGAGAAGATCCTGGAGCTAGAGGACAGAGACTGCTCGTGTGGGGGCACCAAGGCCTCCCTGTCGACGCAACTCAGCTTAATAGTGCCTTGCTGTCCCATTGCCACCACTGGTAACTTATTCTAATATGCTCAAACTTCTACCCCTATTCTCGAACTAACGGCCTCTCTTCTCTTCTACATGCACATCAGAGTCCTGGCAGTACTCAGCTCCAGGCAGCAGATGATCCTGTGATGTTGGCCTTTAATGTATTTGTACAAGTGGAAAGATAGTCACAGGTACAGGAGGTAGGTTTTCCTGATGACCCAATAAACTGCATTGAAGTGTAAAGGAATCCACTAAGTTATCAGTGCTGTACAAGAGTCACACTGGACTTGCAATGTCAACTCTTGTTTCTTTCTCAACAGATGCTGCCAGATCTATTGAGTTTGTCTAACACACACTGTTTTTATTATCATCAATGTTGCGTTGGCTCAGGCATGCCCATGTCTGGCTGTCTCCATGGACAAGTTGGCGTCTGCCATGGCAAGCCATGTCCAGCAGAACACTCAGTAGCTGTGGGAAATGCACACAGGTCTGCATTCCCTTGCTTTAGGCGCTGGGGCCCAGCATCAACAGAAGGCGAGAGGGAGCTGAGGGATCCAGATCTCACTCCACAAGGCCCTTCTTCACAAGGAGACAGGGTGGTCCCAGCAGTCACCCTGACAGAGGAGGAAACAGGCAACATCCTCCCCACCCAGTGGTTTCCTCACAGGACAGTCCAGTGGTACCAGGGCCCTCCACCTTGTCTGTGATCTCCAACTCTGTAGAAGTTGCAGACGAGGAGAATAAACCTGCATCTGGGCAGGCCTCTCTCTGCACGACTGGGTCCTGTAGCAATTGTGAGAATCTGCTTGCTATACTGTCTGTGCTAAAAGGTAAGCCAAGCCAGAGATATCGTGCACATCCAAGTAAGCGCAAAGTGAGTGAGTGCTAAGAAAGTAAGATAAATGCGGTAAAATACAATTGTGTGTCCCTGCATGCAGAGTGGCTGTCAGGAGCATTGCAATGTAAGGTATCTTTGAGCTCCAAAGTGTAATGGTAAAATGCTGAATTGTATTATATCATGGATTCTCACACACAAGATGGTTGTTAGTATGGAACACGAGTGTATGCAAGGCTCTGTCACAAGGCATTCACATGGCCTTTGACCACAGTGTTCTGGTCCTTGTAGTCCCAAGTCTTGGCTGCACTCATGATAGAGTCATAGAGCTGTACAGCATGGAAACAGACCCTTCGATCCAACTCGTCCATGCTGACTAGATATCCTAAATAAATCTAGTCCCATTTGCCAGCATTTGGCCAATATCACTCCAAACCCTTCCTATTCATATACTCATGCAGATGCCTTTTGAATGTTATAATTATATCAGCCTTGATCACTTCCTCTGGCAGCACGTTCCACACACACACCATCTTCTGTGTGAAAAAGTTGCCCCCAAGGTCCCTTTTAAGTCTTTCCCCTCTCACCTTAAACCTATGCCCTCTAGTTTTGGACTCCCCTATCCTGAGGAAAAGAGACCTTTTCTATTCACCCTATCCCGTGTCCCTCATGACTATATAAACCTCCAAAAGGTCACTCCTTAACCTCCAACGGTCCAGGGAAAATAGCCCCAGCCTATTCAGCCTCTCCCTATAGCTCAAACCCTCCAACCCTGGCAACATCATTGTAAATGTTTTTTGAACCCTTTCAAGTTTTGCAACATGATCTTTAGGGTATGTGGATCCCTAACATCTCAAAGATAAAAAAAGCCTCACCATTATGACTTTTATTTTCCTTAGGATGTATGAGAAGGCTCCTGACATATTAGCCATTTAACCAGGTGCAATAGCTGAAATAACCATTACTCTAACATTGGCCATGATATTGTAGTGAAGTGGTATTTTGCCAATGCCAACTTTTGTAGATTAAAGCTGGAGGTAGTCACTGCCCATGGAGCATGTGATGAGATTTTGTTGAATAGACATTAAGAAGGAGGTTTAGGGAACTAGGTGGTGACCCCAGTCCATCAGATAACTGCTCTGACTTTGAAGTTAGGAATTGGTGACATCCAGATTCTTAGCAGTATTTGGGAAAATAGCAGACTGTGTATAAATGAGGTGAAATTAGTTAACGATGGGATGCAAATGTAAGTAAATAAGGTAGTTGGCAAATAATAGCAAGATTTAGTCCATCCAACTGAAATCTTAAAGGCAATGTCGGAAATTTCTTTCTCATCATCAAGAATCATACTTCTTTAGTCTCACTGTATTTTCCCAAATTTCCCTCCATTGCCCACACCATTCAAAAGTGGAAAATTTTGTCAAATGCTGCTGACAAAGTGCAAAGATGACTCTTATTGACTGGAGGGTTTGAGTTACAAGGAGAGGCTAGATAGCCTGGGACTTTTTTCACTGGAGTGTAGGAGGTTGAGGGGTCAACTTATAGAGGGGCACAGATAAGGTGAATAGGAAATAGCTTTTCCCTAGGATTGGTGGGGGGGGTTCAAAACTAGGGGGCATATTTTTCACACAGAAGGTAGTTCATATGCAGAATGAATTGCCAGAGGAAGTGATAGATGCAGGTACAGTTGCAACATTTAAAAGACATTTGGACAGTTATACGAATAGGAAAGGTTTAGACGGATATGGGCCAAAGTAGGCATGTAGGACTAGTTTAGTTTGGGAAACTTGGTCGGCATGGACAAGTTGGACCGAAGGGTCTGTTTTCCGTTTGAGTGGGAAGCCTCAAGTATCTAGATTTTAGGTATTTGATGTTTGAAAGAAGTATGACTGAATATGAAGTACACACACAGGATTGGAGATGCTATTCCATGGCAAATTGGTAAACAGGGCATTACATAGTATTCAGAGACTAGTACACCCAGACTACAGTTTAAACCTGACTTCCTCCAATTTTACCTCACGGTTTCAGACTTACTCTATTTGCTTTGTTGTTTCCTGCTCTGTAAAGATACTGTATTGAGTATCCTTTACATTATTTTGTTGCACTTGTATATATTTTATGTATAATCGTAAAACCTTATTCTTATGTGTTCTACAATATCGCCGTTGTATATAATTAATGTATTAAACCATATATTTCTTCATTATGGCAAGAGGTTATTCCTCAACAAACAGCTCTATGCCTAAGTAACTTTACCTCGTGAGGTTGTACAATAAGGTTCGACAGTTTGAAGTGGTCGATCAGAGGAAGTGGGTATCCATCAGCCAGGGCAGCTGCATAAGATAATAGCTTTCATGTCAGTTAGAAATATCATGGGAATTATTCTGAAATTAACAGAGGCCTTTACTGCTTATCTCTCGTTAACAAGCACGAATTCAGTAATATTTATAATAAGCTGATTGTTGAATGCGTTTAACTTAGGGCTGTTTTGTGATTGCTGGCATGTTCTAAGCTATATGGGTAGCACTGACGTGGAATATCTCCAATTCTATTAGTTTGTTAAAATGTTCAACTTGGTTCCAATAAATTTTTTTTGAAAAGATTTTATGTCAGTTTGGAGCATCTTCTTTCTATCCTATTAATTTTTCTTTCAAATATGTTCCCATTTTAAAATAAAGATTTCAGTTTAATGTATAATTGTGGAAGTTTTTGTATACATTAAATGTTCATCTGTGACACAACAATTACGTCAATGACATACACAAGTAAATTTTTAAGAAGGTAAATTTCATTTGTTGTCAATAAGGTGACAAAGTTAGTTAGTGCTGGGAGACAAAATCTTTCCCCATTTTGTCATCAATAACCAGTTTCAGAGCAAGGTATGCAGGTTGATTGCAGAATAAAGCTCCTTATACTTGGCTCTAGGTAGTAGGGGTATGCTGGGGAGACGTGGAGAATTTTGACAAGTTAGTTTAAAAATAGAATGGTCTGCTTGAAAGGGTGTTAGAAGCAGATTCAATAGCAACTTCATAGGATTAGGTGTAGACAGTTTAGCCCCTCAAGCATGTTCTGCCATTCACTAACATAATTATTGATTTTTATCCTAACTCCAGTTACACCACTTCTCTTTTAATTATCTTGGCTAGTAAAACACAAATGATCTCAGAGAGCTAATAATTGAGTTAGCGTCTATTGTTTTTTGTGGGAGAGGGTTTTATATTTATTATCAGCCTTTCCATGAAGAAGTTTTCTGACCATCTCTCAAATGGTCTAAAGGTTATGGCTCTTTTTGTGGACCTCCTACAACAGGCAAAAATGTTCCTACAGTAACAGGAGTAGATCATTCAGTTCCTCAAGCCTGCTTCTAACTTGTAATGAGATCTTGGTTGATCTTTGACCTTAGACAACTAAGATGTCATTAAAAAGGTCAAAGCAAAATGCATTTCTTAACCTATTTATGTTTATTATCCACTGGTGTCACTTAGGTTCTAATGAGTCTTTATAGAAATTGATTTATCTTTTTCCTAGCACTACTAGCAGCAGAAGTATATTTTTCAACTCTTTGTAATACTGGGTGAGACCATCCCTTTGGTCCTGTGGCAATATCTCTACCAATGGGCCAGAAGCTCTGGGAACACGTCCTACCTCAGGTCTTGATGGTCATGGAAGGCATGTCATAACATAGAAAAACAGGTTGATTATTAATTCATATATCGTTCTGATACGTCCAAAGCAAGCATTAACAGTGGGAGAGTTTCCTGGTGCAACAAGATTTCTATAATGGAGCACAAACGCCTACCATGTTAACAGACTGCACTCAAGTTCTTGCCAAGACCATGCATCCTTTTGTAGCCTACTTGTACAATGTAGCTCCAATGCTGGTAGCCAAGAATCTGAGACTGAATCCCCCTTTTTCCTGCGCTTTGTCTGCAATCTTATACCTGCACCTTTTCCCTCATCATTGCTGTCCTCTTTGTCCTTTTGCCTTCAGCCTTCTTGCACCACGAATGGGTCAAAATTCCTTCTTCAATGTTCGGTACATTTTCTAAGTGTTTGTGACTGTAACTGATTATTGGCCTCAAAACAATATTCGAGTTAGATCTGTCATCTCTCCCATCACCGTATTATAACATGGGGAATAATTTTGTGAGTATGTATTAGCAGCAAGGAACCTCACCATTTGAAAGGTATTATAGTTTATCACATTTTCATATTCCAAAGGTAAATGATATTTAATTCCTTCATCAATTTTGCACTCTCCTCTCCCAAATGCATTGATTGTCTGCAGAACTTCAGGCAACTTAACCATCATTAAAATGTCAACCTATTTTGTCAAGCAAAATGTTACTAGATTGTGATCAGAAGTGGAATTTGAATCCTAATTCATTTTTGTTTTCTTTACTCCTACTATTCCTCTAGCTGCAATCAGCTACTTCAGAAAAGATCATAGAATCAAGTTGTAAATTTGCTATTCTGGTCTTCATGACTGGGCTGCACCTTCAAAAACTCATCAGGAAAGCTGCTTATATTCTTCAGCATTTTGGGGGGATTTTCTATTGTTAGAAACTGGTGTCATTTTTAATACAGTAAAACTCAACTGTAAGTCATTATTTGTCATAGGTTGATAATTGTAAGGTCTAGCTTTGTTTTCCAGGTTAACACTTACCATTAATACGTGGTAAAATGACAATAGAGACCAGGAAATCAATTGCAGTTTGCAGACAATTTACCTGTGAGAATAAAATACATCATACAGTGAAAAGAGTTATATTCAAACATATACAAAATTGGTTAAAATGCTCAAGTTAGTTCTGAATAATTTCTTAACTGTTTGTGAATAGGCAACATAAGAAACTTGATAAGTGCTACTTTGGAATGAAAAGCAACATTTAATGTATTGCAGGCTCTGCTGACAATAAATCTAATGAATCCAGACTAAAAAAATTATTCATGTTCCATGATCTAAGTACGGGAAAGAGATGGAGAATAAGATGTTTTATGAATTGCTAAATTTCACATTCTCAAAGATCATTATCATTATATGCGTCAGTTCATTATGATTTTCCAGTTCTTCATTGATAGGAATTAGGAAATGAAAGATCCAACTCAGTCGAGCAGCACCACAGTTACTTATGTGGAGTGATAGAAATGGAAGGTTTTCTCCATCACAGGCAGAAATAATGGAGGAAAAGGTTTCTCTACTTTTAAGCCCAGATTTCAATGCAACTGACCAGCCTAGTGCAAACAATCAGGGACTTTTCAAATCAATAAGCCATGCCCAATGTCACTTGCTTCCTTGTTTCCAACAATGTTTTACACTTGTCGAGGATTCACTTTACTCATTTAAGATGCTATCCACAAAACTGACCATGCCTCTAAAATTGAGTTTTCTACTGGTCAAAGGTTGGGGAAGGCTATTCAAATTAATCATTTTCTTAAGTTGTCAGAAATTTAGTAATACATTTTAAAACATTCTAACATTAAAAAACATTCAGTTTACTAAGGTACTGGTGTGTTTAAACCAATGAAACAGTTAAATAGTTCATGATAGTTATTTTTAAAAAATCCTGTTTAGTTATTTTATATCAGGTTACTTACAGTGGAGTACTGGACATACTTACCAAGATACTTCCCTCAGCTGATCAGCTTATTTTCAGCTATATTACTAAATTCAAATCAACTTACTAATTTTAAATACATTAAATAAGTTAATTTAGTAGAGTGAAACAAGTACATTCTATTCATGTTAACAATTTTGCTGGGCCATGGGCAATTTTAGTTTTTTTTATTTGTTCATAGTATGTGGACATCACTCGGCTAGACTGGTATTTATTGCCCATCCTTTACTGTTCTCAAGACACTTTGAATGAATTTTTGAGCAAACCTAAACTATAAATTAACCAATTCAATTATAGGTAAAGCTTGACTGCAATTTTCTAATCCTTCGATCACAATTTGGCTAAAATTGCAAATGAAAGAATCAGAAAATCTCGCATGCACTCACTGAATTTTTCTTATAAATTCAATAAAATGAAAATACCTTTTTTTGTTTTAATTATTGGGATGCACCCCAAAACGTTTCTGCCACTGTAACCCTAACTGTGGCTTGAAAATTGTTGTAACTCTCAGTGAGTGGGGGGAAAGCTGTTAGAGGGGAAACATAGCTGCTGTAAACTCAGTCAGAGCACCATTGTTGCCTCAGAGCACTTCATAGTTCCACTTGGGGGTCTCAACACCCACTTTGGGAAGCTCTGCATTAGGATCTTACTTTAACATATCGTTATATTGAAACAACAATAGTACATAACAATGAAATTGGAATGCGCTCTGTATCAAATCATTTTCTGTTATACCAACCATGACAAAATTGCCAGAGCTGATTGAAGTCTTTACTTTCTGCATGCATTCTAAAAGCCTTCTTTGAAATATTTTCTTCTACTTTGAAGCTCACATTTTAATGTACTTATTTGAGACTTAAGATATCTAATATTTTCCTTTGTCTTTACATGAAGTATCTGTTTTATTCATATCTTTTGTTTCATTTAGAAATATTAATAGCCATTATCCTTCAAATTACACAAATTTATCTGCATCCTTTCTGAAACCTCTTGATATTTCTGGTTTGTTCAATGATCTAGAACATTTCCATGCTCTGTTATTAAAGTTGGTCTGGCTTAATTTCCTATTTATCTTTTTGTTTTCTTAAATCATTATCCCCACCTTATTCTGCAATGCTTATCTTAGGAAACAAACATAATCTGTTTCTAATTTATCAAACCCCTTCATATTAGGGAAAGCTTGGAAGAAATCTCTCCATAGTCAGCAAAATCATGGATTTACAATTACCCTTCATATCATTATATTTTTAATTTTTGTAATCTTAGAACATCACCTTAGCTTCTTGAATAATGCTGGCCTTTTTGAAACAGGAGGGTCAGAAATTGACACGATACATTGCATGCTTCCTCACCAAAGCCAAACACAGTTCTAATATCACATCTTTGACTTTATATATAATACTTATTCCTGTGTAGACCAATTTACTTTTAAATTTCTTGCAACTGGGAACATTGGGCCAATGATATTAGTGATGTGTTTATGAATATTCCAAGATCTCTCCTGGTCTGATATTTCTACCTCGTTCGCAACCAATGTGTAGTCCATCTTAAAATTTTTCACTTCATTTCATTGTTTCTTCTATCTGCACAGAATTGCACTTTCTATACAGGTAACTCAGCAAATCTTTCTTCCTCCCTGCTTGAACAGAAATTGTGCATTGGATATTTTTATAGCACCAGAATGGATCTTGACCGAATTTCACAGATTTTGGGTTCAGTTTTTTTAAGTTGCTTGGCAAGGGCTGAATGGGATTATCACCTGTGTAATCAGTGTTGAAGTTTGGAATTCTTGCAACTGAAAGTAAAGTTTGGAAATTACTTACTTGAAATGGACCAATGTTTGACTTCTTTAAAGACAATTGTATCCTAAAGAGGAACAATAGATATTCATTAGTGTTATCCAATGTTGCATTTGATATTAATTAGATGTCTCACAATTAGTTTTAGTTAGATAATCAAATCTTTCGAAGTGGAAAGGGAATAAGATTATTCTGTGTGTACTGTGAAATCATGATGAGTCAAAATTGCGTAACTCAAAACTCTGGTTGAGTTGAAGTTGTCAGCTATTCCTGGAGTAGAACAGGAAATCCAATAAAGGGATGCCCATGATAAATTGAAGTTATGATTGGTAACTCCAGAGCAGCAGGACTCATGCAAACTTGAAATATGACCATGCCAGATAATTGGAGTTAGTTCACACTAAAGCGCAAAATGATGGGCAAACCATTCTTCAACATTATAGATCTCTCTGAAACCATGCAACTACAGATCAACTTATGAGAAAAGTAAAAGAGCTGTTGGTTGGATGGAGAGTGAGGTTGATGTAACAAGGAAAAAACTGTGGTGCAAATCAAAAAGTGGTTATCACTAAGGAGTGGAAAATTCCACCATCAAGTTTGGCTACCCTTTTGAAGCACAAGGCAAAAATCATGGAATGGTTTGACAAGCGGGCCTTCTCTTCAGCAAGGAAGCAGATGAGAACGGCTTACTATCCTGATGTTGAAGAAGCTTTGCAAATGTGTTTCAAGGCAACTTATGTCGAGAACATTCCCATGTCCAGTTCAATCCTGCAGAAAAGGGGTGTCATCTGGACAAAGAGACAAAGAGACCATGAGAAATTCACTTGCATCAATAGATGAGCAGGTCTGGCAGCATTTGGGGATAGAAATCAGAGTTAATGTTTCGGGTCCGGTGACTCTTCCTCAGAACTGAAGATAGCTGGGAAAATGTTGGTTTATATGCAGAAGATGAGGTTGGGGAGGGACTAAGGAGTAAATGATGGGTGGGGATAGAGCCCAAAGATAAAGAAGAACAGTTGAACAGACAAAAGAGTTGGTAACGATCTAGCTAGGAAGGAGAATAGCTGTTAATGGAGACTGTTGGTGGCTAACAATGGATGGTGTGTAATGACTGTTAATTAAGCCTGCCAATAAGGGTGGTGCTGTTGTAGTCTTGCGTACTGACCTCTACATTGCAGATTCTGAGTGCCAGCTCTCCGATACCTCCTCCTATCTTCCCTTTGACCATGACCTCACCATGGCACATCAGGCCATTGTATCTACTATGGTTACTGACCTTATTTCATCTGGGGACCTCTCTCCCACTGCCTCCAAGCTGATAGTCGCCCAGCCCCACACAGCTCGTTTCTACCTCCTTCCAAATATCCACAAAAAGGACTGCCAAGACAGACCCATTGTTTCGGCCTGCTCCTGACCCACAGAACGCATCTCTTCCTACCTTGACTCAGTCTTCTCTCTCCTGGTCCAGTCCCTGCCCACGTACATCCGTGATTCCTCTGATGCTTTATGTTAGTTTCAGAATTTTCAGTTTGCAGGCTCCAGCCGCCTCCTCTTTACCGTGGATGTGCAGTCCCTTTACATGTCCATCCCTCACCAGGAGGGTCTTAAGGCTCTCCGCCTCTTCCTGGAGCAAAGGCCTGAACCATCCCCACCCACCAGCATCCTCTACAGTTGGCCGATCTTGTCCTCACTCTCAACAACTTCTCTTTCAACTCTCATTTTCTTCAGGTCGGAGGTACCAGGCTTTGGGTACCTGCATGGTCCCAGTCACACCTGTCTCTTTGTGGGGTATGTTGAAAATTCCATGTTCCAGTCCTACTTTGGCCCACATGCACAACTCTTTCTCCGACATATCGATGATGTCATCGGAGCTGCTTCCCTCTCTCGTTCAGAATTGGAAAAGTTCATCAATTTCACTTCCAATTCCACTCTGCCCTCACTTTCACCTGGTCTATCTCTAACTCCTCCCTTCCCTTCCTCAACATCTGTTTCCATTTCTGGGGATAGACTGGCCACTAATATCCAGTATAAACCCACCGACTCCCATAGCTACCTGGGCTATACATCCTCACACTCTGCTTCCTGTAAAGACTCCATTCCAATCTCTGAGTTGCCCCATTCCATCGCATATGTTCCCATGAGGCCAACTTCGACAAGGGAGCCTCTGAAATGTCCACCTTCTTCCTTAGCCAAGGATTCCCCAGCTCCATTGTCGACAAGACCCTCAACCGGGTCCGACCCAACTCCCACACTTCCGCCCTCACCCCCTTCTTTTCCTTCCCGCAACAGTGATAGGGTTCCCCTTGTCCTTACCTAGAATCCCACCAGCATCCACATCCAGAAGATCATCAGCCGCCATTTCCGCTATCTCCAGCAAGATGCCATCACTAGACACAAATTCCTCTCCCCTCCCTTGTCCGCCTTCTGCAGGGACCGTTCCCTCTGGGACATGCTGATCCACTATTTCTTCAACCCAACACCCCCCCCCCCCCCCACCCCCCAGCCCCCCACCCCACAATCGCCATAGGTGTAACACCTGCCCTTTTTAACTCATCCATCCCCAGTATCCAAGGGCCCAAACATACCTTCCAGGTGAAGCAACACTTCACTTGTATTTCCCACAATCAAGTCTACTGCATTCGCTGCTCACAATGTGGTCTCCTCTACGTTGGGAAAATGAAGCATAGCCTGGGTGACCGCTTCGCAGAATATCTATGTTCTGCTCGCAAAAAAGTTCCTGAGCTTCCAGTTGCCTGCCATTTTAATACTCCACCCTGTTCCCTGGCCAACATCTCTGTCTCAGGCGTTCTGCATTGTCGAGCAAAGCTCAGCGCAAGCTGGAAGAACAGCACCTCATTTTCCACTTGGGGACCCTGCAGCCCTCTGGACTCAATACCAAGTTCAATAATTTTAGGGCCTGATCTCTCCAATGTCCCAGCCCCCTACCCCACTCACCAGGCCTTGTTATCACATAGTCTGCCATTATACACTACCTATTGTTAGCCACTAACAGTCTCCATTAACAGCTATTCACTGTCCCAGCCAGATCGTTATCAACTCCTTTGTCTGTCCAACTGGTCTTCTCTCTCTTTGGGCTCTATCCCCACCTGTCATTTACTCCTTACCCCTCCTGTCACCCGATTTTTGGCATATAAACCGACATTTTCCTGGCTACCATCAGTTCTGAGGAAGGGTCACTGAACCTGAAACATTAACTCTGATTTCTCTTCAGAGATGCTGACAGACCTGCTGAGCTTTTCCAGCAACTTCTGTTTTTGTCCCTGATTCACAGCATCTGCAGTTCTTTCAGCTTGCATCAATAGATTGCTGGACCGATTCAAGATGAGGCACATCTGCAGCTTCTGCACAGTAGGTGGTGAGAGTGTGGCAGTGGTGGCTTCAAAATGGTCCTACCCACATCCTGAACATGATTGTGCCAAAGGACATCTTTCATATGGATGAACCTGAATTATTTTAATATTTTTTACCAGATCACTCATTCATGTTTAAAGACTGGAAAGCAGTTGACGAATGGGTCATTGCTATGGTCTGTGCTGACATGGATGGCACAAGAAAGCTGTCACTTCTTATAATAGAAAATTCTAAGAAGCACTTTGCTTCGCAAATGTCAAGACACCACCCACGCTGTACGAGACTAATGAAGCGGCATCGATGACCTTCAGCATTTTTGAGGCGAAGATCAGGAATTGACAAGATGGATCAGCAGAAGAAAAGGAAAATTATCATCATTACAGACAACTGCCCCGCGCACCTGAACATCATTGGCCTAAAGCTGACATTCCTGCCTCTCAACACCATCACCAAGCTCCAGCCAATGGGTCAGAAGGTGATCGGAAACCTAAAAAAAAATCATGTTCATGATGAAAGTATGGAAGAAGCAAGCCACAATCACCAATAGTATCCACCACACTGCGTTCAAAACAGGTTATAACTGCACAAAAAGCTGAGAAAAAGAGGAACGGGGTTAAGGCCGATCAAGTACATTGGTCCAATGACAAGATTCTTTTTGCTCACTTGCAGGAGGCGAGCAGAGAAAGTCCATCACAGACAACCATGGGAACTTATGCAAAAGTAGGTGACGCCATACTCCCACTGTGTACCAAAATTGACAGACATAGCAATCATAGATGCAGTATTTTCTTCAACTGATGACCAGGAAGACTCAGATGATGTCTGCCCACTGCCCCACCTGTTTCGCTAACTGAGACCACAAAGAACTGCAGAAGTGTTCTGGGATTTCAGTATGAAAATGTGGAAACAATGCCTGACTGCACTGACGACATGGCAGACTGTGTGGCACCCATCCAAAGACAGCACACTCTGTCGGAAAAAAGTCACTGAGTTTTCCAGAGTTCTAACAGCCAATGTTTTTCAATGCCCTTAACTGGACAAGGTGAGATCACTGCAATGTGTAAATAAATTGAAAACTAATAGAAAAATCATATTTAATGCCTCACTCTGTTTTCATTTGATATTTTCTGGCCTAGAGCTATTTGGAGGGAACCATGTTGCACAGGGATTCCTCTTTCTCAAAGCTCTGCTTAGGATTCAACTTGCTGTGATCTTACTAGGTTTTAATTAGAGGAATAATGAATTGAGTTTAGTCTATGTCAAAGGTGGTATTTTTAAAAGCATTACATCTTAACATTTTTTAAACTTGTTCCTTCACATGATGTAAGTGCCCATTTATTGCACAATAACAATTGCCCTTGAGGATGTGATGGTGGCATGCTTTCTTGAACCACTTCAGTTCATGTTATGAAGGTATGTATGCCTGAGGTGCTGTATGGAGTGTTTTTAACCCTGTAACAATGAGGGAGCTGATCTACGCTTCCAAATTAAGATTGTATGTAATTTGTAAGTAATGGCACTTCCATAATCTTGCTGACTTCCTTTTTCTAGATGGTAGGCTTAGGCTTTCTATCGCAGCTGTGAGAGGTACTATATTTTGTGGATGATGAGGAGGGACTGAATGTCTAAGATAGTGGATGGGAGTACAGATCAAGTACATCATAACATTAAACTTCTTGAATGTTGTCAAGCTGTACTCATCCAGATGGATGCAGAGCATTCCTTACACTTCTGACTCATCCTTTTTTGATTGTGGAAATACTCCGGGGAATCAAAAGTGGGTCATTCGCCACAGAATATCCAGCTACAGTATTTACAGCATGTGGCTGATCCAGTTATGTTTCTGGTTAATGTTGATCTTAGAATTTTGGTAGATTTTTCTTGGTGCTTTCATGGAATGTGGACATTACTGGCAACACCAGCACTTGTTGCCCATCGTTCATAGATTTGCTGTAACCCACAGTGAGGTTGTTGACTTGCTCGCCAAGCTGGCTTGTTTTTGTTCAGACGTTTCATCACCATGCTAGGTAACATCATCAGTGGAGCCTCCGATGTAATGATGTTGTTCTACTCCGTTTGGAATTTATACTGTCCGGTCCATTATGGTGAGTACTGTCATTTCCGGTTTTGATCTGTATGGGTTTGTATATGGGGTCCAATTCTATATGTTTGTTGATTTAAATATGGGTGGAGAACCATGCATCTAGGAATTCCCGTGCGTGTCTATGTTTGGCTTGGGCTACTATGTTTACCTTGTCCCAGTTATATTGATGGCCTTCATTGTCTGAATGTACTGATATTAAGGAAAAAAATAACATGCCAGCTTAGCGAGCAAGTCAACAACCTCATCAACAACCCAAGCTACAGATCTTTGCCAAAACTTTAAAGTAACCCACAGTGTTATTAGGAATGCAATTTCAGGTTTTTGACCTAGTGACTGTGCAGGATTTTATGACTGTGATACCTTTCATTGTGAAGTAAACATAAGTTAGAGTTTCTCCGGCAAATGAAACAAGCAGAGTTTAATCATCAGTGAGCATGAGCTCTTCTTTCCTTATAATGGAGGTCATTAAAAACCATTAATCTACCTGGTTTAAATCCTTTATTTAGGCTTTGTGGTGATTTGATACAACTGAGTGGCTTCCCAGGCTATTTCAGAGGTTAAGAGTCATCCACATTGCTGTGGGTCCAGAATCACATGTAGCCTGGATGGGGTAAGGATGGCAGATTTTCTTCCTGAAAATACACCAGTGAGCCAGATGGATTTTTATTGACGATTGACGGTTACATGGTTGCTGTTAGACTATCTTTTAATTCTAGAGTTCTATTACTGAATTCAAGTTTCACCATTTGCCACGGTGGTATCTGAACTCATGTACCCCGAACATGAGCCTGTGATTCGGGATTATATATTACTACTATATCCTTGTTTTATTCGCGTCTGGGTCACCCGACTGGAGCCCTTCCTCAGTTAATCTGGTACTGAAAGCCTCATTGCATGCGTTCCAAATAAGAGTCATTCTGGTCTCGAGACATTCACTCTGTTCCTCTCTCCAAAGAGGCTGCCAGTCCTACTGAGGTTTCACTTCACTTTCTGTTTTTATCCCTCATTCCATGCTCTAGGTAAGTGTGAGCTCATCTAAAATTCAACTTTTCATAACCTAATTTGCACCACGTTCCATTCACCCATTTCCCCTGTCTGTGCTCACAGGTCCACACTGACTCTTGGTCCATAATTCTCATTCTTGTCTTTGCATCCCTCCAGGATCTCACCTCTCCCTATCTCAGTTAGTTCTCCACGCAAACCCTACTTCCTCTGCGCTCCACCAAATCTGGATTCTTGTGCATCCTGATTTCAATAGCACTGCCATTGAAGGTTGTGTCTTTAGCTGTCTAGGCTCTCAGTCTGGAATTCACCTCTTAAACCTGCATCTCAATGTCCCTCTTATCTTTAAGATCCTTATCTTATCTGTTATCTCCTAATGGGAGTTGATGCCAAATTTTACTCAGTAATCCTCTTGTGAAACACCTTAGAACATGCAGGTTATTACTGTTGTTATCATTTGTAACTTTAATGTGGACACTGCACCTAAGAGACAAACAATTTGTTCTAGTTCTCAGACAAATTTTTACAGACACAATTTGGATGTAAAATTATTAAGCTACAACTGCCAGCAAAAATCTGCCTTTATTTTTATTTTCTATTGTTCTATTTTCAACATACATTAACTGGCTCTGGAAACAACATGGCCACCAAAAAGATTTGCAAACGACTGTGTTCTTTGATTCTGGTGCAAGAACTAGCCAAAGGGAAAATACTTCTTGAGCTTGTCTTCATCAATCTATATGGTGTAGATGCATCTGTCTGCATTGTGCGACTGACCATTACAGAGTGATCTTTACCATGACAGTGAAAACATTCTTTGTACTGGTGCATAGTGCTGCCACCATACAGAGTAGGATGCAATCAAAAAATAATCTCTCAAAATCAGGTATTTACCAAGTGTAGGGGAGCTTCAATGACAGCAGCAGAGTTGCATTCTCAAGCTGTAATCTCACGACCTGGTATATCCCCACTCTACTATTGCCATCAAGCGAGGAGGTCAACTCTGATTCAGTGAAGAATGCACGACAGCATGCCAGATGTTGCACAAGGCATACCAAAAAATGATGTGTCAATTTGGTGAAGTTACAACACAAGACCACTTACATGCCAAACATTAGAAGCAGCGTGCAACAGACGATCCCCTAATCAAATGATCAGATCTAAGCTCAGTGCCCTGCCACATCCAGCCATGAATGGTGGTGAACAATTAAACAACTTATTGAGAGGGAGGAAGCTCTCCAAATATCCCCATCTTCAATGATGGGGGAGACCAGTATATTAGTGCAAAGATAAGGCTGAAACATTTGCAACCATGAAAGGCCTGAAGTGCTGAGTGGATGATCTAATTTAGCCTCCTCTGGAGGCCCCTGCAGTACAGATGTCAGTCTTCAATCAATTTGATTCATTTCACATAATATCAAGAATTAGCACAACACACTGAATATAGCAAAGGCTATAAGGCCTTGATAATATTCAACAATAGTACTGAAGACTAATAGTCCAGAAATAGCAAGGTGCTGAGCCAAGCTGTTCCAGTACAGTTACAACACTGGTATCTATCCAACAATGTGGAAAATTGCCCAGCTATGTCCTAATCATAAAAGCAGGACAAATACAACCTTGCCAAGCACTGATCTAGCAGTCCATTCATGATCCCCAGCAAAGTGATTGAAGGGGTCATCAACAGTTCTATCAAACGGCAGTTACAAAGGATTAACTTGCCCACGGACACTCAATTTGGGTTCTGCAGGGCCATTCCTCTCCTGACCACTTGATCCAATCATGCTGCACTCCAGCGGTGAGGTGATAGTGACTGCCCTTGACATCAAGACAGCATTTGACTGAGTATGTCATTAATCAACCACTATCAGTGCCCTAGAGGTTACCATTAACTAGAAACTGAACTGGACCTGCCATCATTGTACTATGTTTACAATTGTGGGTCGGGGGCAGGAAATCTGTGGTAAATAACTCAAGGCCTATGAGGCCAATGCCTGTTCACCATCCAAAAGGCAAGGGCCAGGAATTTGATCAAATACTCTCTACTTGCCTGGATATATGCATCTCAAACAACACTCAAGAAGCTCAACTCCATCCAGGACAAAACAGCCCATCCAGCATCCCCAATATTCAGTCCCTTCACCACTGAGGTATTGTGGTAAGAATGTTTATCAACAAGATGCACTGCAGTAACACACTAAGACTCATTGAACAGCACCTTCTAAACCTAAAACATCTACCATACAGAAGGACCAGGTCAGCAGATGCATGGGAACACTTCCACCTACAAGTTCCCCTCTGAGTCACTCACCGTCCTGACTTGGAAACATTTCACTGTTTTTTCAATATTGCAGGGTCAAAATCCTGGAACTTCCTTCCTCATAGTACTGTGGGTATCCCAACAACTGTAACAGTTCAAGAAGAGAGCTCACCACCACCTTCTCCAGGGCAAATAAAGATAGACAATAAATCCTGGTTGAGCCAGCCGCACTCACATCGCACGAAGGAATTTTTTTTAAAAATTGTGGAGGTACAGAGGTACAGATGGTGCTGATCAGGTGTCAGGTTGAGAGGTGTAGTTGATGGCTGATGAGTACAGTTTGTGGCAGGAACTGAAGACAATGGCTCAATTTTCGTCATTTTTAACTGGAAGCAATTTCTGTTCTTCCTGCACAGCTTATCAAGCAAGCAATGTAGCAAATCAGAGACAAAGGATGAGTTAGTTTTGAGGAGTGCTGAAGGGTATCAAACTGCGAGCACTCATCAAACAGGTATTTAGACCACAGACTGAGAACAATTGAACAACACAATTATTTAACTTAATTCATTAATGATTTCTCTCAATCATTTTACTATCATATCACACATATTACCTATCCAACGTTAGTTGCCCAGTAATCTTGTCATCTTTTATACCTATTGTGGTTGTGATCTGTGCATTCTGTGAATGGAAATATTGAATTGTCAGGTTCCAACAATACTTGCAAATTTAATTTGACTTACAAGTTTATGTAAAGTCAAAAACTTACCAGCTTTACACTAAAGAGTGGAGCTAGTGTAGAATTTGGTAAGATAGCAAAAGCATAGACATCTCCAGATGTTGTCAGGATGATTTTACTGTACAAAAATGCCACAGTTGGTGCAGAATCAGTTACAAGGTGAAGCTCCATCTTCATAACTGGATAAATTTTTTTCACCTGGAATGAAAATATTAGAATCATAGAATCTCTACAATGTGGAAGCAGGCCATTTGGCCCATTGAGCCCTCCAAAGAACATCCCACCATTGATGACTCTATAATCCCTTCATGCAGTTCAGGGTAGTTGTAGCCGTGAGAGGAACACCAAGCTCTATGATTAAATCTGCTTTGTACAAAGTCTACAACTACAGTGTGAATGCTCTCTAAGAACAGGAATTTAATTTAGAATGTTATAATGTTAGTTTAATTTGACTGTTTTGTTAATTAGAGATAAATACTTATTTGGATAATTTTGTATTTGTCAGTTGTTTTTTAAAACTTTATCTTGAAGTATACTGAAGCAATAATAGTCAAGTGTAATAGAGATAACAAGGTGTAGAGCTGGATGAACACAGCAGGCCAAGCAGCCTCAGAGGAGCAGGAAAGCTGACGTTTCGGGCCTAGACCATAGTCAAGTGTAATTTTTGGTTTATGCTTGGATTGAATTTGGTAGTAACGAGCTTAGACCAAGAGAGGGCAGTATTGTTGCATTGATCAAAAACATTTTTTTTATTTCAGAAGTCCAAACCTTGGGACATGCTGGACGAGCAGATTTTTGCTGTGAAAAATGAAGGCTTGTTGAAAAAGAATTAATATTAAGAAATCTCTGTTTATTTTGAGTGAATTCATAAGTGCTTTGGCCAAAATAAATTCTCTTGAACAATTTGACCGCACATCTTGTTTTTGTGTTTTCCACTCTCCACCATATTTTCATGGCAGTAATTGATAAATCTACTGAAATGTGTCTTCACTGTCTTTGTGGTTTTAGGATC